CCCAAAACCCCAAAACCCCAAAACCCCAAAACCCCAAAACCCCAAAACCCCAGTAAATAGCTAAGAAATTGAACTTTTATTATTCAGATAAGATTTGGCCTTAAATTTCTCGAAAAGACTCTCATTTGTCAATGGGTTAAAACTGTCAGAAATCCTATGTAGGCATTAGAAATTCAGATGTATAGAGATATTGAAACTCAATGAAAGCACCTAACGAATTAGACTCCCAATGAGAATTCTACTTACCTTGACCCCTTGGTTTCATAAGAAACAATCTGAGAATTTTGGAGCCTATTTCTCAACACCTTGTTCAGAACTGGAACTTTGATTTTCTCATTGTTCTTCTTTCCATGCTTCGATATCCGGTTCAATTTCAGGTTTAAATTAAACTCTTCTAGTTGTAACTGCTTCTGAGTTGGGCGGGACTCATTATAATTTAGCACATTCCTGGGCTTGGTCCTGTAATTTTTAAAGCTTTTGCTGTGATCGTTAATATCATTCTGAAATTTATTTGAAAAACTTTTGATAATAGCCCAAACTCTTCCTTCCATTAATCAGCATAGCATCATTATAATTAGAATCCTTTCCTTTAGTTTCTTCTACTTTCAGCTTAACCGATGATGTCTCTGGAACACCGATACTATATCTTGGAGCATCTTCCTTGAGTAATCTACTATAGGAGATGTCAGGAAGGTTAACAATAAATGAAAAGAGAATAGGAATTTAAGATAAAACATGCCAAACCAAAACGGAAATATTTTTAACCCATCGGCATTTCCAGTTCAGAATACTGAAATAATACACCCAAATTTCATTTCATGGAGGAAAATTTGACCCAAATTAAGTAAATTTTCCTAACCAGGGCTTTGAGCGCTTAGAAAAGAAGGTTACTTTCTATCTCTGGACTTCATCTCAGAGTAGTGGGAGACATGATCGTCGAAACTATCAAGCTTGTATATTCCCTTGGAGTGTCCTAAATGTTTACAATCATGATTTCTAAAACCTACCTTTATTTGAAGGTGTAAAATTTTCGTTGCTGTTAATAATAGAGTTTCCCACATCACTCAAGCTGATTCCACGCTATACGAAAGTTAATGAGACAGTAATTAAGAAGTTAGAAAATTATCCAGAACTATGAGAAGGAAGTTTCACAAACCTTATGTCTTCTCAGTTTGATCTCCCCACTTTTAGAGTAAGATTTGTTCCTATTTGTATTGTATTGGCTTGAATAGTCATGAGAAACTGCTCTCTTATGCCGTATGATATCCTTGGAGGCCCTATTCCCAAACTTGTTACACACCAGGATTTACAGAATTTTGATGTGGTACAACCCAATTCTACTTACGATTTCCTTGGTAAGGGCTGCATTTTCAAACTATTGTTCTGAGAGATTGTAATAGGGTTATTTAGCTCTCTTGACTATTCCAATGTGACCTTCTATAAGCATGGTCATATACAATTTCCGAACTGGTCATTAAAGCCAGAATTATAGCTATATACAAGTTTGCCTAAAAACTTGACCTAGAAAGACTCTTTCTTATATAAAACTTAGAATTATAATAATGGAGAAATCTCTAATAAGGTTTAACCCAAGCTATCTGTCCTTTCTTTGAAACGAAGAGCCTCAAGAAGCCTAAGCGAAGCTTCAAATATGGCTCTAAAAAGGTACCTTTGTCCATCCGAGTTGCTTTGTTCTTGAACCTCTCCATAAAGGTTGACTTTTCCTGCAACTTCAGCTTCATGATGGATGATTTGTTATTTTATTATTTATATTCGATAGAAAGTGGCTAACTTGGGGTTTTGGGGTTTTGGGGTTTTGGGGTTTTGGGG